AGGATGGTCTCAATCTCTTGACCTCGTGATCTGCCCTCCTTGGCCTCCCAGAGGAACGACCCCTGCTGGCTGATAACTATAAATTTGGCAGGGCACATATGAGACTCTCAACAGATAGAAACAGCCTCTGAAATAACTTTTCAGTCCCAAACTCAATTCTGAGCTTCAGGCTGAGGTCCTAGAAAGAAAAACCAGGTCAAAGGTATCCAAAGCCAGGCAACAGGCACAGTGTAAGTGGGAAGGACCGATTCCTGCCGAATGAACACCCCAAACCCGTGGAAGGAGGCCGTGCTTCATGGCATAAACAGGCCAAGGGAACTCAAAGGTTACCAACAGCAGGAAAAAATGAAGGCATAAGAAAGAGCAGTTAATTCCTATTTTCCAGGTTTTCCCTGCTTCATGGGTACATACTGCATCAGTACCGATGGCCAACACCTGCCAAGGTCACTGGGACTCAGGGATAAGAAGTGGAAGGGAAGGGAGGATGCTGTCTTTCTCTCTCCATCATACCCTGGGTATTCACTGAAAGAAGGAAGGGAATGAGGGACGCCTCTATTCCCTGTCTTTTAGAATGAGCATACAGCTCTCTTCACCACCCCCAGCTTATGCTCCTCTGGAGTGTATCCTGAACCACTGGGCCTGCTTTGACCCTCTGAATCTGGGGGGAAAATACCCCATAGTCCTCTTTACAAAGGTTTGGCCAAATTATGAAGGATTGGCTGGGCCTCAGGAAGGAACCATTCATTTCAGTACCACCCAGCAGTTGGAACTTTTCTGTAGATGTGAGGACAGATGGTCTGAGGCCCCATAGGTGCAGGCTTTCTATACCTTGCAAGGCAATCCAGATCTTTGCCCAAAGTGCAGGATTGATCCAGCCTTCCTGTTCGCCATCTTGGGGAAGGCTACAAGGGGCAAGCCCAGGGAATTAAAGACGTGAGTCCCAGAGGCACCCCTAGCAGAGAAGCCAGCTCCCTCAACCCCTGCTCCTCTGGGTCTACCCCGACCTCCCTATCCAGCTCCAGCCTCTCACTTGCCCCCTCCTAGAAATCCTCACTATAAACAAGCCCCAGTCTCACTCTTGTCCCTCCAACAGATGCCGAGTTAATTTGGGCTCAGTAAGGTCCAGGTCCCCTTCTCCCTACAGGACTTAAAGCAAATCAAGGGGGATCTTGGCAAGTTTTCAGATGACCCTGATAGATATAGAGGCTTTCCAGAACTTCACTCAGATATTTGAACTCTCCTGGGAAGACATTATGTTACTTTTGAATCAGACCCTGATGGACACTGAGAAGCAGGCCGCCCTGCAGGCAGCAGAGAGATGTGGGGACGAGCCTTGTATCACATACAGCATCAGGGAAGAGGGTGAATATTATCCAACTAGAAGAGAAGCAGTACCAGTGAATGACCCTAAATAGGATCCTAGTAATGAGATGGAAGACTGGAAAAGGAGACACTTTTAGGTGTGCATAATGGACGATTTTTGTAGGACTAAGACCAAGCCTCTTGATTATACTGGTATACATGATCGACCAGGGATTTGATGAAAATCCCACTGCCTTCCTGGAAAGGGTAAGAGAAGCCTTGGTAAAGCACACCTCCCTATCTCCTGATTCAGTTACAGGACAACGAATCCTAAAGGATAAATTTATTACTCAGGCAGCTCCTGACATCAAGAGGAAGTTACAGACACAGGCCCTGGGACCAGATAGTACATTAGGGGACCTCCTGAAAGTGGCCACCTCAGTTTTTTACAATAGAGAAAGGGAAACACAAGAAAGAGGCAAAAGCTTTAATAGCCACCGTGCAAGCACACAAACCCCAGAATTCCCAGGGTACACCTGTTAACTCCTAAACATATGGCAAGAATAGTTATCTGTCTTCTATAATTTAACCGCTCCCATACAAGGTTCAATTTCTTTCACCAGGCTGAAACAGCTCAGGGTACAACATTGTTGTTAATATATTTCACTTCTTATCTCTGTACTATTTGGCACTAAATTCTTTCCTTGTATAACACACATGTTTAACCCATGCATACTAAACCTTATAAAACTTGTTTTATTTTCCTCTCATGCTTAGAAGCCATCAAACTCCAAACAGGCAACCGGAGCCTTGGATGAATGGCTCCCCTTTGCTAAGAACCCTTAGATAGACCTCTGGAAGGAATCCGACTGCTATTGTCCCCAAAACAACGCCCCTGTCAGCAGGAAGTAGCCTAAGACTGACTGTCATCCACGTTCTAATGGAAGTTATATGTACCTCTTCACAGGGGGACATGATACAGGAGAGGGGCAGGGAAGTGCTGGGAAGGGAAGGGTGGAACCCCGTGCTGTTCCTTAATAAGGGCTCAACACCTGGGTCTGTCCCCATGGGCCTGGGTAAGGACAGACCTTTCTGTTTTTGTGCCCAAATGCTGCATTTCCCAAGACCACCATGGCCTGCCACACCCCCATCCTGTGCCTATAAAAACCCTAAGACCCTAGTGGGCATGCACACAAGCAGCTGGACGTCAAGAGGAACACACAGGCAGAAGAAGACACAAACGGCTGGACAATGAGAGGAACACACTGGGGAAGAAGCACACCAACAGGCACTGGCAGATACCAACAGACCATCCACGATGGAACGAGGCAGTTAGGCTGGGGCAGTCGGAGGACAGCCTGGCCACTGGGCGGCCTGACTCTAGGGGAAAACCACCTTCCCACCCCATTTCCCTTCTGGTTCCCCCATCTGCTGAGAGCTACTTTCACTCAATAAAACCTTACACTTGGCCAGGCGTGGTGGCTCATGCCTGTAATCCCAGCAGTTTGGGAGGCGGAGGCAGAGGTGGCAGATTGCCTGGAGTTCACGACCAGCCTGGGCAACACAGTGAAACCCTATCTCTAGTAAAAATACAAAAAAAATAAATAAATTAGTCGGGCGTGGCAGCGTGTGCCTGTAGTCCCAGCTCCTGGGGAGGCTGAGGCAGAAGAATTGCTTGAACCCAGGAGGCGGAGCTTGCAGTGAGCCAAGGTCCTGCCATCGCACTCCGGCCTGGGTGACAGAGTGAGACTCTGTCTCAAAAAACAAACAAACAAGAAAAAAAACCCTTACACTCATTCTCCAAGCCCACATGTGGTCTGATTCTTCTGGTACACCAAGGCAAGAAAGCCCTGGATACAGAAAGCCATCTGTCCTTGCGATAAGGCAGGGGATCTAATTGAACCAACACAAGCCGCCTACAGACAGCTAAACTGAAAGAGCTGTAACACATGCCCACCAGGGCTTCAGCTGTAAACACTCACCCCTAGATGCTCCCTTGGGGTTGGAACCCCACAACCTGCCCAGTCTCTTGCAGGCTCGTCCCCCTTCGGCCCTCAGAGGTAGACAGCTTCTGGCCGCCTGAGCCTTATTCTTTGGTTATACTTTGCCACTCACCCTGAAACCAGGTGGCGTCTTCTGGACCCAGGCCTTCAAATAACCTTTATATGCTAATGACTCAAAATTCTACCCAGATCTTTCTCGCAAGCTCCAGAATCCCAGGTCCAACAGCTATTGAACACCTCCCTTTGTCTGAAATATATCACGGCCAAACACAAAACATAACCCTTCTCTTCCCTCCAATCATCTCCCCTGACACTTCCTCCTCTGCGTGAGAGGCAGCGCCCAGGATCTCTGAACAATAGGACCCATCCTTCACTCTCCTCTCTCCTTCACTCCATCAGAAACTCTAGAGGACCTACCTCTGCCTGTGTAACTCCTACTCAGGCTTCAGGATTCAATTGGAGCATCAGCCCCCCAGAGAAACCTACCATAGACTCAGACTAACGTGGGAACCCCCTCCACCAGCATATGTTCTCAGACCTACACAGCCTTCTCTACTGCACTGAAGAATCAAAATGGATTCTTCATGTTTGCGTCTAGACTCCCGTAAATGATGGGAATGGTGGGGCCTTTCCATACCCTCCCTCCCAGCACCAAAAACACAGTTTGTCTTCTTATCTGGACTCTAGGTATACAACCATGGGATCTGTCTCCTGCTTGCCTAACCATGTCTGTTATCACCTCAGCACTCTGTGGTCTGTGGATCAGCAGCATGGATGACATCTGGGAGTGATTAAGAAATAACAGCTCTGGCAGGAGGTGGTGACTCACACCTGTAATCCCAGCACTTTTGGAGGCCAAAGTGGGAGGATGGCTTCAGCCCAGGAGTTCAAGACGAACATGGCAAAACCCTGCCTCTACAAAAAAATGCCAGATGTGGTGGCACCTGTTTATAGTTCCAGCTACTCTAGAGACTGACGTGGGAGGATTGCTTGAGCCCGGGAGGTCAAGGCTGTAGTGAGCCAAGACGGCACCACTGCACTCCGGCCTGGGCAACAGAGCAAGACCCTACTGAAGAAGGAAGAAGATAGGCCAGGCATAGTGGCTGACACCTGTAATCTTGGCACTTTGGGAGGTCAAAGTGCGTGTATCACCTAAGGTCAGGCGTTCGAGACCGGTCAGGCATTCGAAACCAGCCTGGCCAACATGGCAAAACCCTGTCTCCACTAAAATACAAAAATTAGCAGCTGGGTGTGATGGCTCATGCCTGTAATCCCAACACTTTCGGAGGCCAAGGCAGGCAGATCACCTGAGGTTGGGAGTTCAAGACCAGCCTGACTAACATGGAGAAACCCTGCCTCTACTAAAGGCGTAAGCCACCGCGCCTGGCCTCAAGTGAGCATCTCAGGTGGGGAAGACCCAGGTAGGCTGCAGCAAAGGGCGGGGGCTGGAACTGGGAAAGAAGTGAGACATGCCCAAAAAGATGAAGTGGCCAAGGGCAAAGTCTTCTCCTCAACCCTGTTATGTCCTGGCTTACTGCTTCTCATTATGGGAATGACCACTTATAAGAACTGCCCAGGAGAGCCCCTTGGTTTGGCAACGAAGCGCTCAAACCTGAGGTACACACAGTGGGACCAAGAGGCTCCGAAGGGAACTGAAGTGAGCATGCGCACAGACAAGCACTAAAGGGAGCGTACCTGCCAATCAATCAGGCTGTACGGGCCAGAGACAGCTGGACAGGAGGAGGAAAGGGTTTCCCACCTCCGCCGAGATCCAGGCCAGTCTGCAGTTCACAGGGTGGATATCCATTACCTGCCACACAAGGCCCATGGGAAAGTCACAACAAATACCAAAACGTCATGCTTCAAAGGCCCCTTACATGACAATTTATAACCATGTGAAATTAAACCTACTCGCCCATTGGAAATACACTACAAGGCGGTTGCAGTGGCTCTCGTCTGTAATCCCAGCACCATGGGAGGCCAAAGCACAAGGATCGGCTGAGGCCAGGAGTTGGAAACCTGGGCAATACGTCAAAACCCCGCTTTTACACAAAATTTTTTTTTTAATTAAACAGGCATCGGGGTGTGCACCCTTAGTCCCAGCAAGGTGGGAAAATTGCTTGAGCCCAAGAATTTGAGGCTTCAGTGAGCTATGATCACACCACTGCACGCCAGCCTGGGTGACAAAGTAGTGTGATCATAGCTCCAGCAAAGCATAGCAGCAAATTGACTTCTTCACCAGTTAAAATTTTTTGTTGTTGTTGTTGTTGAGCCAGTCTCGCTCTGTTGCTTAGGCTGGAGTGCAGCCGTGCGATCTCGGCTCACTGCAACCTCAGCCTCACGGGTTCAAGCAATTCTCCAGCCTCAGCCTCCAGAGTAGCTGGAACTAAATACTGGCGCATGCCACCATGCCTGGCTACTTTTTTGTCTTTTTACTGGAGACGGGGTTTCACTGTGTTTGCCAGGATGGTCTCGATCTCCTGACCTCGTGACCCGTGCGCCTTGGCCTCCCAAAGTGCTGAGATTACAGGCATGAGCAACCACTCCCGGCCCCTTCACCAGTTTTAATAGATTTCCAGTTTTGTCTTCAGTTTACTGAGCAAACAATGCTATCATCTTCAATCACATTTGCTTCTTCCATCCCATTCTTCATGTTGATTGATGTTTTGTGACATTAAGTAAGAGACTACTGTAATGATAGATGACTGGGGTAAATAAACATATTTGCTTTTTGTTAGGTTATGTTCCTCCTTCCAATGGGAAAAACCTTTTGACTCAA